ATTAAAAAATAAATTAAATAAAAATATTAACTGGTTAGACATTTAATTTATTTAATAAGTCATGTGCCAAAGAATGCATTTCATTTACCAAAATGTTTCTTGTTTATTAATTTAAGGGAACCGAAAAGTAATATCGTTTCGGTGCATTAAATATTCGCTAGTCTTAAAAAGCAATTCATTTTTATTTTCGATTCATTTTCGATCCTGCATTGAAAGGTTGTTGCTAACGAGGGTGAATGCATTATTGATTAAAAAATAAAATCTTGATAACAAGTATCAAATGCACCGAAACGACATTACTTTCCGGTTTCCTTGATGCATCAAATTTAGACCGCGCGTCACCTGTTGAAGAAGTAAGTATAGCTTTAATACAAAAGCAGAAAATATGATCTTCAAACATTTGATCAAATTATATAATAATTTTGTAATTTCTTGATGGATATAAACTTTAATGTTTTCATTAATAACCTCGACCACTATCTTTTGTAAATAAACAAATACCATTCATGTCGATGATGACAAATTTATCAAAATTAATGGCAGAAAAGGACCCTAAAAACGCCCCCAACATGTCAGTACACACATTTCGATAATTTATTTTTTTCTAGTTTTATTTCACTTTTACTCCTTAAGACAAGCACAGCTGTCAAGATCGTTCGATGTTCGTTTTTCCAGTTTTATTTATTTGGGTCCAAAGAAAAAAAAAAGTCCTAATCGTTTGCTTTTTCTTGTAATATGGAACGACAAAGTATAAAATTCTGTTCTAGTAGTGTTGCCATTTAAAGCGAAATAAAATCGTTTGCTTGTGAGAATAGTGCCACGATGAAGTAGTTGGCAGATATTCAAGTGTGAATGAAGTGGAAACTGTTGAAAGCAACAAATAAAACCTTTCTTACATTAACTTAGATGTACATTGAAAAAAAAAAATAAGAGTAAATAAAATATGCAGAGTATAAAGAAAGTAAATGAACAGCGTAGCTTAAAAGCTCAAAAGACATTGTTGCTTATTAAGTAAATAAGGTCAGGTATTACTCAATTCTAAATATGATAACCACACTTAAGTTGGTTTTTGAGGTTGAAAGCGGAGTGGAAAAAAAAATTATTTAAGATGGCGGATGTTTTTCGTCAAAAGAACCACAGCGTTTCAAATATAATGTGACACGAGTTGAGGTTAAAGATATAAGAATAAGCTAAAATTTGTGGTGATTTAACATTCATAACTTTATAAGGCTCGAATTAAATAAAGTTTGCGGTACTTAGGGAAGCATGCGAATAAAATACGTGGTTTTAAAATACCGTAATTTATTAAGACATCGAAATAACATAAACCTTTTTATATCAATATACTTCTCGTTTCACATCCTGAAACACCCGGCTATTCTGCACAATAAAATTCATAATTTAGCTAATAATAATGCTTAAATTTAGTTTTTTTTATTTGTAACTTTCATAACAATAAACTTAAGAAAAAATACATTTTAAAAATTTTCGAAAACTCTACTGATTCGTTAAATTAAAGGGATTTTTATACTGTAAAAAATGGAAGAAAAGTTTATAGATAAATGAAACAAGAAAAAACGCTTATGATAGTTAATTTACAAATGCAGAGGTCAATACAGATCTTTTTCGAAAGGTTCCGTTTCTATTATAAACTAGTCAATAACGATTAGTCACGATTTTGTGAATTTAAAATTAAGAGTTAAATCAGGTTTAATTTACTTATTTTTTCATCTCAACTATTTTATTTATTTCTTTAAAAAAATCTATTTTATTTTTTTATAATTAAATTTCACAAAGTTTTTTAATCACACAACTTAATTTACGAATCGCGGATTTGGATTATGTCGTGATTGTTATCGAAGCAGTTAATATTTTTTAATGCATCAAAATAATTACAGCAAATTTTTTTAATTAATTAAAAAAATTTGCCGAAATACGGTATAAGTAAATGAATCTTCCTTCATTAAGACATTAACTAAAATTTTACATCATATGAAAAACTAAAGTATGAAAAAGTGATGTGAGTATGAGAAAAGTGAGTATGAGTATGAAAAACTAAATACTATAATCAGGGATCTGTCCAGACATTTTGTGAAAGGTCCGTTTTTCGAGAAATTGTGAAAAAATTACTCACATTCTTTCAACCAGGGTCCGCTTTTACGAATTTGTGCAAATAGGGTCCGTTATTGCAAAAAAAAAAACTTTTTCAAGGAGTTTTTAAATTGTAAAGACATACAAGATTATGCTCAACACTGTAAAATTATAATTAAAAAAATTAAATTTTAAAAAATAAACAACAATTGCTGCTTCTAAATTAGAGATGCAACATACAAATATTTGGTATTTAGCCTATACTGCTGAACGCAGAATATTAATTTCGGACGAATAATGGAAGAATCGTCTGCCGAAGACAAAACTTAATTCGTTTACATCCATCTTTCTTGTTTTCTGCGAAAGGGTTTATTCGATTAACAAAATAATAATGAGGATAAACAAATTTGTGAAGGGTCCGATTAAAAGAAAAATCATTTTGTGAAGGGTCCGTTTTTAAGTTAAAATATTTTGTGAAGGGTCCGTTTTTATGAAAAGATATTTTGTGAAGGGTCCGTTAACGGACCCAAAGTTCATCTAAACAGACCCCTGATAATGTTACAGATATTTCACTAAAGCTACGAATAATGTTCTTCATTGTAAAGTTTACAGTACTTTTACATAATTTTTAAAATTTATAAAATAATATGGTAACTAATTATTAAGGTATAAAAATATTTAATTTTAGAGCTGTGACAGTTGATGTCACATCAGAGACGACCATAGTGGCAGAATCGCGGCGACATGGCGACATTGTCGCAGCTCTCTACTGAGTTCTTGCAAAAAGATTTTTCTTTAGGGAAGAAAAAAATTTGGTTTGCTTTTCTGCAGAAATTTAAACGTAAAATTTGAATCACGCATTTAAATTATCACTTTTTGAAGCTCTCAATTTAAGCCCATATCGTAAATCCATTTTGATTGTATTTTCGGCAGTAATTGACATTGATTTTCACGTGGCCTTTAAATATCCCGATATATTTCAGGGCGATATGGAAAATTCGAATTTGCGCATATGATCATTTACTTTTTTAGACAATGATTCTATCGATTCTTTTGGTAGTTATTGCTTTTGTTTTTAAAGCCCGATATTTTATATACGATATTATTTATTAGAACAATCAAATTTGAGTAATTTCTTTTCTAAAGAGTCCGATTCGCGTGATTTCGTTGTCGATCTGTTTTTCGGTAATTACTGCTACAGATTTCATGATATTTTATTTTTTTAATGTGATGATGATTTGCAAAATGCTATAAAGGAAATAAGTAGTGCGCCCCCCTCCCAACAAATAGCAAGAATATAGCCCATAATATTAGAATAAAAAAAAAAAATATTACATATTCAATTAAAAGAAATATTTTGTTTTTGTAAACATAACATTTTCGTTACCTTAAATTAGTAACATACATCTTTGTTATTATTGAAAATATCTCGCAAAAAGATATTAGTGCTAGAGAGTTTTGTCGCAAGAAGTCCGAAAATATTCTGCCACGGGGAGGGAGGCGACTCTTGAGTGGACAGTAGAAGGGGGGGGGGG